ATTTTAAAACGTAATTTGACCTGAAACATCAAACCTCATCTCTCCTCTCTGAACCGAGCTGGAGATAAAGATCAAGCTGTGGTCAAAAACTTCAGCTTCCTGAAACATGAAGTAAGATTTCTGATGATCTGATTGGTTATCTGAGAGAACTCACTCTGACCAATGACGTACGGAAGAAATGAACCAACATTTTACTCGACTTAATCTGATGAAATGGTTTTTATAAAAGGAGGAGGAAGAAAGGAGGAGTGTGTGTGTGTGTGTGTGTGTGTGTGTGTGTGTGTGTGTGTGTGTGTGTGTGTGTGTTTGATGAGATGATGTTATCATGTCATGATAATCTCCCTCACACACAAACACACATAAATACACACAAGTGAGAATGATGCATTCAGGGTCTGAAGGACATCCAGGACTGTCCTGCATGTGTGTGTGTTGGCAGAATGTGATCTGGTCTTCAAGGTCAGTGTGTGTGTGTGTGTGTGTGTGTGTGTGCGGGGGATTATCACTCAGACACCAGACACCGTGTAGAAACGTCCAGCTGACCGCAGCCATATTTGTTTTGAGGCAGAGGATGGTGAGGAGAAGGTCAAAGGTCGAGGATATTCTGACTCTGACTCATCACACCAGCACATTAATTCATCAAATACATATTTATTTATTAATGAACTTATTCTCTGTTAATTCACTTAATGTCACGTTTAATGAGGCGCTGTTGGAACAGCGTGTAGAGCTGTCACATGTTTGATGATGAATCTGAACGTAGATCAGTCGATTATTTTCACTCACTGCGATCTCTTATAAAGAAGAAACCACGTTGGACACATGAGACGACTGACCCTGAAAGATCTCCTCGACGTCTTTACAAACTTTAAAACACTGAATTATCGTTGGTGTCTAATGTGGTTTTTCTACTCAGGAAGAAAGGGACTCGGTGAAGACGACCGCGTCACAGAGGTGCGACGAGACTGTCCCATTTCAAAGGCTCCTTCAAACACTTCCTGGGACAACATTTCCCAAGATTCATTGCGTGTCGGTAGTGAAAGCAAACAGAGAGCCTGAGGATTACACTGTTAAATGTCAGTATGAGTGTGTAACGGTGCAACAGTTCAAACCTCACCTGTTGATCCACCTGTGAACTGTCAGCAGCTCCACCTTCACCTCCAGCAGACGCAGGTGGGAAGCTCAAACATCCAGGTGAGGAAACAGTCACCTGAACACATCTGTGGACTTTAAATCCTCCTGACAGTCCAACAGTCCAATAAAGTCGTGAGAACTGAACCAAGAAAGAATATTTATAACTTTATTTATTCTCTCTGCTGCTGCTTCGTTTCATTTATCAGACATTAAATCTTCTCAATAGAAACAAGTAGAAACAGAAAAGAACAAAAGGTGTTTGTGTGAAATGTCAGAGTTTCTTTCACTGTAAAGTTGGACTCAACTCTGACATGTTGCCTGGCAACAGCTGGCTATCAGCACCCACTCAGGTGTGTGTGTGTGTGTGTGTGTGTGTGTGTGTGTGTGTGTGTGTGTGTGTAAGACTTACTGTGTGGGCAGTTAAAGTGCTGGGCAGATATTCAGAGAGAAAATAGATGGAAAGAGAGAAAGAGAGGAGGAGGGAAGGAAACTAGGAGTTCAGAGAGGAGGAGGGAAGGAAACTAGGAGTTTAGAGAGGAGGAGGGAAGGAAAGAAGGAAAGAAGGACTTAAGAGAGGAGGAGAGGAAAGACGTCAAGAAAAGAGAAGGCACCAACTTTTCTTTTCTCTCTGTATCTCTCTTACAAACACTTCCAGGCAGAGTGGCGTTTCCACGGTGACCACTATGGGATGCCAAATTGGTTGCTGGGAGAGGAAGAGGCAGAGGAAGAAGAGGAGGAGGAGGAAGAGAGAGGTCGAGACCGGTGCATTTTTTTTCAGCTTTTCCACAGTGGTTGAAGTGTGTGGGTGGGCTCTCTCTCTCTCTCTCTCTCTCTCTCTCTCTCTCTCTCTCTCTCTCTCTCTGTCTCCCTCCCTCCCTCCCTCTCTCTCTCTCTCTCATGGCAGCAGTGTGAGTGTGGGGGTGGCTGTATTATTATTTGCTTTGCAGTGAGAAGAAGACAAAGTGTGAGCTGGTGCTGGAGGTGGAGGAGGATTGAGGTTCTTTGTATTTAGGTGTGTTTAGGGACAGAAAGCAGGATGGGAAAAGAGAGAACTTGTTTCAGATGTCAGGCCTGTGACGATCTCTGGTTGAGCAAAAAAAGAAAATAAATAGATAAATAAATAAAACTGTTTATTATAACAATGAAAACCAGAGACATTTCCAGTTTGACGATCAATAAATCATAAAATATCCAATGTCCTACGACATTATATACGGTTTCATGTATTCTGACCGTGGTCACTGTTGCACTGTAACAAACTATGGTGAAGGCCAACTGATAAAATGATGACTCCCTACCTTTGAAGTAAACATGAGGTCCTATTGTCTGTCTAAGGCTCCAAATCAAAAGTGTTTTTCAAAAAAGGTTGTCCGTCGCACAACTTCTTCTTCTTCACTTCTTTCAATATAAAGAAGGGGGGGGGGGGGGGGGGGTTTACGTACAATCTCCAAACCAATGAGTGAGCCAGATGACCTTTTCTCTGCTTAGAGACAACAAAAATAAAATAAAAATCTGATTGGATAACTCTGTTTGATGGTTGTAGCTTGCTTCATTTTTGAAGCTACTATAGCTAGCAGCTAGCTCCCTCTGTTGGCCAAAACAAGCGGGCCAGGCCACTAAAAATGGCGACTGTCCCCAGAAAACAGGGACGTCTGGTCACTTTATGTAAGAAAAGAAAAAGTTCAAACTCTAACTGCTGTCTCACGTCCACACAGCCGACCAATCAGGACAGGAAGTGGGCGTGGATGTCAGACTGTCGGGTTGAGAAAGTTGCGGAAGTTGTCGTAAACAGGTTTGTGTTCTTTATCTGACCTTCAACAAAATAAAAGAAACACCTGTCAGTCAGAATGACAAAAACTGATGTTTGTCTTCATGAAGGAGGAATTACGACAAGCCTGTAGTTTATCTGGGTGTTCCTAATAAACTGACATATATATCTACAGTCATGGCCAAAAACATTGGCACCCCGTGTTTGCACTGGAACAACTGGATAAAAAAAGTCAGATCTGATTCATTCCACACAGAACTCCAAAAATGGACCGGACAAAATTATTGGCACCCTCCACTTAATATTTGGTAGCACACCCTTTGGAAATATAACTGAAATCAATCCCTTCCTGCAACCATGAGTGAGTTTATGACACCGCTCTACTGGAATTTTGGCCCACTCTTCGTTTGCCAACTGCTCCAGGTTTCTCACTTTCTCCCGACTGCTGTTTTCAGATCTCTCCACAGGTGTTATATTTTCTTTCTAAATTAAAGGAGCGTCACTTGCTTGAAATCCCAGTATTTCTTACAGTTTTGAAAAGGTGCCAATCATTTTGTTCGGTCCATTTTTGGAGTTCTGTGTGGAATGAATCAGATCTGACTTTTTTTATCCAGTTGTTCCAGTGCAAACAAAAGAAATAAACACATAAATACCAAAGCATTTTTAATTGCAACAGTCTTCTGGCAGAAATGGTTCATTATCTGAAAGAAGTGCAGAGGTGCTGAAATGTTTGGCAACGACCGTAAATATATATTTCATATATTTATTTATAGAGAGGCTTTTAGGAGAATTAAACAGAGCTGCTGGTTCTTGGTACTTTCTGTGGAGACACCGCCTTTGGCTTTTATTCCATTACAGCACACACACACACACACACACACACACACACACGCACGCACACACACACGCACACACACACACACACACAGAGTTGACATGACAGTGGATGAGGGTCAACAGTCTGTCCATCCTCTGCTCCAGCAGTGTGTGTGTGTGTGTGTGTGTGTGTGTGTGTGCATGTGTGTGTTATGTAAGAATGTCATTACATTAAGATCCTCTTCAAACACACACTAAGAGCTAACACCTCCTCCTCTCTTGTATGATTGTGTGTGTGTGTGTGTGTGTGTGTGTGTGTGTGTGTGTGTGTAAGTGAGTAATGTCTTGAGGCGAGTTGGCATGACGACAAGGCGTCCATTTCCAACAGTGTATCCAGGGAGAGTTGGTTTCTAAGCACTGATATGCACGCACACACACACACACACACACACACACACACACACACACACACACACACACACACAATTGGATTTGATCTTCAATATGTTTTAGACCAGATTTCATGACTAAAAGACTTTTGCTGCTCGACTTCTACAGTGTTTATATTAATTTCAAACAAACACTCACACACACTCACACGCTGACACACACACACGTACACACACACACACACCCACTCACACACACACACACACACGCACGCACACACACACGCACACACACTCACACACTCACACACACACACGCACACACACTCACACACTCACACACACACACGCACACACACTCACACACTCACACACACACACGCACACACACTCACACACTCACACACACACACGCACACACACTCACACACTCACACACACACACGCACACACACTCACACACTCACACACACACACACGCCGAGCGGCTGCAGTGAACAGGAGCTCCGTTCCTGCTGTGTCAGGGTTTTTGTTGCCGTTGCCGTGGCAGCCAATCAGGGATTCTCTCGCTGTGATTTAATTGGATCAGATGGCAGGTAATCAGGTCTGCGTTATGTAACGACATCATCGTGGTGTGTTTGTTTACATCATATAGTGACATACAGAGAAACTTCACAGCTCAGGGATTCAAACCAGCAACCTGCTCAACAACTACAGACTATCATCATCACTGGGAAAGAACCAACAGTCACAATAATGGATATATATATATCTGCAGTTGATTATTTAACTTTTATTCATTTTCATTATTTCCAAGGATTTTGAAGTGTAATAATGTGACGTCACCTTTGAGGTCACAAAATAAAAATGTTCAGAACGACATGATCTTTAATCTTTGTAAAAACTTCAAGCTCCTCCAGTGTAAAGTCTCTGTCCACGTGTAGTTTGAATATAAAGCAGGTCTAGGTTCTATATCAAGCAGTAGCTTCAAACGTTCCATATAGACAGTGGTAATTTATGTAATTTAAACACTGTGGCTTTAACCGTTTTTCTTCTGCAGCAGGTTTTTAAGGCGTCAACACGTAACGTTAAATGTTCTTTTTCAACAAGAGAAAAAAATATTAAGATATATGGACATGTATGGACATGAAACTAAACACATCATCATCGTCTGTCAAACAGGTCTGAACTCTAGAAGCAGCTCTCAGGGCGCGTTTGATTAATTCATCAGAACCGGGTCTTGAAGCCGGAGAGCTCCAGCTTATCGATGCTCCTCTGGTTTTTGAAGGAGGCTCTGGTGATGCGACTGGACGGACTTCCTTCTTTACTCAGCCACACCTTCCTGTGGAGGACGCAGAGAGAAGGAGAGAAGAAGAGAAGTTCCTACTTTGCACAATATACTGTATAATGAGATATTTTAATTTGTTGTGTTTATTTTTCTGTTGTGGATATTCAGAAATGTAATTTAATTTGATTTAAGTTAATATGTTATTCATTGTGTTTACTTTGCTCGATGTTGAGCTATTTGATTTAATTTTAATTTTAACTTTTATTAACTTTTATTAATTTCATTATTCATTATTCATTTTTGTATAATGAACTATTTTATTATTAGTTGTTTATTTGTTATTTTATTATTAGTTTTTTATTATTCGTTTAATTTAATTTTATTATTCATTGTGTTTATTCTTCTTCTATCGAGCAATTTCATTTAATTTTATTTCATTTTATTATTGTTTATTTTTCTATAGGGCCTATATTTAACAATTTAAACAAATTTTATTAGTTGTTTTTATTTTTTTATTAGTTTAATTTGATTATTGTTATTCATTGTGTGTTTTTATTTCCATTATGTAAGTTGAGTTATTTAATTATTCGTTGTTTTTCCCAGTTTATTTCACCCAGACCAGGTGATGTTGAACTCACGTCCCCGCGCAGCTGAAGTCTCTGAGAAAGAGGTTGAGACGGACCGACGTCATGGCGACGGGCCCCACTGCTCATGGGAAAAAATGTAGAGAAAAAAAAAAACATTACCAGCCAACTGAGGTCAAACCAGCATCTGGACGACAAAGTGCATGATGGGAAATATAAACATTATTTCAGCTAAATATAACCACGAGAATGTCCTGCAGCAGAAAGAGTCTGTTTGACCACTGACCGACTGTTTTAACACTGACCGACTGTTTTAACACTGACCGACTGTTTGTGTTACTGTCTGATGCTGCACTGGAGTGTCTGGTATATATGTACGTGTGTGTGTGTGTGTGTGTGTGTGTGTGTGTGTGTGTGTGTGTAGATTAGAGCAGATTGCAGGGGATCAGGGTCACGTCCATGTAGCTGCACTGACTGAAGCTCAGTCAGAGAGAGAGAGAGAGAGAGAGGGAGAGAGAGAGAGAGAGAGAGAGAGAGACGAGCGATAGAGAAGAGGGAGAAGAGGGAGAGAGAGGGAGAGAGAGGGAGAGTTTCTGAATGACACATGTCCTACTTTTTCTTTTTTGGCAAAAAAACTTCTGATCTGCTCCATGACCTACTACTCTACTGTATACACACACACACACACACACACACACACACACACACACACACACACACACACACACAGCTTAGCATTAAGTCTCCAGCAGCTGGATATTTGGTGGTTTGTAATCTGCAGCCATTTTCCTCTATGAATGACTCCCTGATCTCTTTGATCCACACACACACACACACACACACACACACACACACACACACACACACACACACTCACACTCACACTAACACACACACACCAGGACTTCTTCTATACTTGTGAGGACATCATACACTTCCTACACCTCATGTCCGACCTCGGAACAACACGGAGTTTATTTTCTGTTTGACTTGTAGATTCACCTTCTGTCTCTTTAACAACCTGGACCAAGAACCAACATGGCGCTCACAGAACTGGTTGTGTTTCCTGTTGTTTTTATTACATTTAAAAATATCATTTATATTTTTATTCTATTTCTTATTTCAACATCTTTTCACCAGAATTAAACTGTTTTGCGAAACATTTGTCGACCTACTGATAAAACCTCAGGTGTGTTCACTGACTTCGCCGCCTGTGACACATGTAGTCTTCACTTCCTCCTTTAATAACTGTTACAATAATATTCACAGGCCTCTTTGAAGATATATATTTTTTAAATGTATTTTATAATCTCGATCATTTTGCTCCCGGATGACCGTATGTGGAACCGCTCTGGTCGCTGTCGCATCAACAGACAGAGTTCGCCTGCGCAGTAATTAGCGGTCTGGTGGTCTGTGTGAACTGGGTGGTCTGAGGTTGAGTCACGTTCACCTCCTGAATTACTGTTTCAGATCCAGATATGGACCTTAGCTGTGTCTCTGTCTCCTCTTTAGTTTCTGTCCAGTAAAGGCCTGTTTTCCTGATGCTAAGATTAGCACGGTGCTATCAGGCGCTATCCTGTCTGTGCTGTATGAGATGATCTACGCTGCAGTTACGAGCAGTTTCCCTTTAAAGGAAAGGACTCTGATGATCCCACTCATGTGACTGTCAGACACCTGTTACATCTCTTTCTCCCTCTCTCTTTCTCCCTTCCTTTTTCTTTCAGTCTGTCTCTTCCTGCATCTCTCTGTGTTTTATTTTTAAGCCGCTCGGCTCTCTGGGAATTTTTTCCTCTCGGAGGAAAAAGTAGAAACCACCCACTCGTTCGCCTCCCACCACCAGCTCTCACCCACTCCCTCGCCTTACAACCGTTTCTCACTTCCACCTCGTTTCCTTTTCTCTCCATTCATTCCTCTTTTATCCATCCTCCACCCCTCCCTCCCTCCAGCTGCAGGAACAGCTGCTTCCTGTTTCCCAGGCCCGGCAGGAAGTGAGGTCGTGGTGAAAGTGGAGTCGAGAGGAAGGACGTGAGAGTGAGCGCGTTAACAAGGAAAAGATTACAGATATAATGGACGGAAATAGTCGAGATAACGTGTGTGTGTGTGTGTGTGTGTGTGTGTGTCTTCAGTGAAAGTGTGTGTATTAAAGTCACCGTGAGGTTGTAAATGATTTATTGGCTCATTAACTGAACAACAACAAAAAAGCTGAAATCAGCTTTCACTTCCTTCAAACTCTCCTTTTTCCGTGTGTGTGTGTGTGTGTGTGTGTGTGTGTGTGTGTGTGTGTGTGTGTGTGTGTGTGTGTGTGTGTGTGTGTGGTAAAAGAGCAGCAGGTCCCTGGAGGCAGTGATGTCATCTAAACGAGACATCCACACCCTGGTGACATCACCCCGCCGGACAGAGAGGATGTCAAAACAGGCTTCGGTTTGATGATTGATTATTGGTTATTAGGGGTGGGGGGTGGAGGGTGGAGGGCGAGGTGGGGCCTCGGCGTAATAACTGTTACCAATAATATTCCACAGGCCTCTTTGAAGATATATATTTTTTAAATGTATTTTATAATCTCGATCATTTTGCTCCCCGGCATGACCGTATGTGGAACCGCTCTGGTCGCCTGTCGCATCAACAGACAAGAGGTCAGCCTGCGCAATAACTTAGCGGTCGCGGTGGTCTGTTGTGAACTGCGAGTCTCTTGAGTGTTGAAGTCACGTTCACTGCCTTGAATTACTGCTTTCAGATACCCAGATATGGACCTTAGCTTGTGTCTCTGTGCCCTTGCCTCTTTAGTTCTTTCCAGTAAAGGCCTGTCTTTCCTGATAATGCTAAAGATTAGCACCGGTGCTATCAGGCCGCTATCCTGTCTGGTTGCTGTATGAGATGATCTTACGCCTGCAGTTACGAGCAGTTTCCCTTTAAAGGAAAATACTCTGATGAATCCCACTCAGTGACGTCAGACAACTGTTTACATCTCTTTTTCCCTCTCTCTTTCCCCTTCCTTTTTTCTTTCAGTCGTGCCTCTTCCTGCATCCTCTGTGTTTTATTGTTAAGCCGCTTGGCTCTCTGGGAATTTTTTCCTCTCGGTAGGAAAACGTAGAAACCCCCACTCGTTGGCCTCCCCACCACCAGCTCTCACCACTCCCTCTCGCCTTACAACCGTTTCTTCACTTCCACCTCGTTCCCTTTTCTCTCCATTCATTCCTCTTTTATTCCATCCTCCACCCTCACCTCCCTTCCAGCTGCCAGGGAACAGCCTGCTTCCTGTTTCCCAGGCCCGGCCAGGAAGTTGAGGTCTGAGGTTGAAAGTGGAGTCGAGAGGAAGGACGTCGAGAGTGAACCGTCGCCGTTAACAAGGAAAGATTACAGATATAGTAATGGACGGAAATAGTCGAGATAACTGTGTGCTGCCTGTGTGTGTGGACGTGTGTCGTGTGTGTGTGTCTTCAGTGAAGAATAGTGTGTGTATTAAAGTCACAGCTGAGCGTTGTAAATGATTTATTGAGCTCAATTTAACTGAACAACAACAAAAAAGCTGAAAATCAGCTCTTCACTTCCTTCAAAAACTCTCCTTTTTCCGTGTGTGTTGACCAGGCTATATGGTG